GAAGACCTGTAACTTCACCTCTGGTGTGAGTAAGCTTTGGTCAACCGTGAGGCCACTGTCCAATCCGACGAATGCTTCGTCGGACCCAGAGCGATGCGCGAGCTATTTTTGGCGGCAGTTCATACTGCATCCTCCGGTGGACAAAACTAAGTGTCGAGTGACCAGAAGGCTGCACAAACTGCCAACAACTTTGTGCTCCCCTTGCTTTCACTTGCGGTGAAGTTCAGGTGGCCATCGGGAAGGCGAAAGCCTCCACTGCCATGGGTCCCGACGGAATATGCATTCTAATGCTGAAAAATTTGGGTCCTGCGGGAGTAGCGTGCCTAACGGAGGTCCTCACTCCTCCATCCCAGACATCTGGAAGGTGGGGAGAGTGGTCCCTCTGCACAAACCGGGGAAACCCGCCAACAAAGGAGATTCGTATCGACCGATAACACTCCTTTCCCCGGTAGCGAAGACACTTGAGGCCCTGCTGCTTCCGTATTTCACGAACCACCTGACCTCAGCGAAGCATCCGCATGGTTTCCGTAAAGTGCACAGTACAACACCAGCACTTAACGACATAAACAGTCACATTCCCACGACAGCCGGTTCTACGCACCGGAATGACTCGGGTTTCACCCGACCAAGGGCTGTTGTTTCGGCGATCTAACCCCGTTTAGGTCGGCGAAGTATCTCAGAAGTTGTTCGTCCATAGGGCTACATTCACTACGTATTCTTCTACTCAGGGCTGGCATCAAACCAAGGGCCAGAAACCTACACCTGCTGTGTATGCCGGAGACGATTACACCACATCTCCACCTCAGTCAAGTGTAATGCCTGCGAGGGGTGGAGTCACCTCAGAGTCTGCTCGGGACTACGGACACATCGACAATGGACCACGTTGTACGTGGCCCCCTGTTGCTCAAACAGAGCAGCCTCCACGGCTAACCTCAGTCCACCCGAGCAGCCTCACACAGTCACCACAACACAACAACATAATACCACAGACCATACCACAGCCACGACAGACCACATAACACACACAAC